TTAGAAACAACTCTTCAAGCTTTTCAAGAAAAAATAAACGATATCTATCTCGAATATGCAAAACAGTACAACATTGACGAAGGAGAGTACCATCTCGATATTTTATATGACAGGAAAAATGCAACTGTTAATCAATAGAATAGAAGACCTTGGAGAAAACGTTTTATATTTCTACAAAATATAACAACTTGGCATGGTATAGATTTTTGAGGATGTTAAATCAGCCTGCAGCATATCCAGTACACCCGAACTTTTATGAAGTCGAAAACCCTAATGGAACATATGAAAATGTTTTCGACTAAGATGCTATTATAGTTCATGCTTCATTTTCTGGTGCACAAAACTCTTTTTTATGCTTGGCAAATGACTTTTACGAAAAACCTACAAAGTTATACGAACCACCAAGTGGAAGTATTTCAGACTTTCAAGTATGGTTTACTACAGATGGAAGAAAAAGAATAATTCCATTATACCATGCGTTTTACTTAGAACTTAGTTTCATATACAACTACTATATGAACGGTAAAAATATAACTTTTTAATACGGTTGAGGTGTTGGATTTGGTTGCCAACTAGACTGTTGGTGCAGGTTCAGGCTGTTGTATAACAGGAGCTTGTTCTTCTGGTTCAGGGTCTTTAGGTATAATACCAACGAACTGACCTACCCTTTTACCAATATTTTTGACTCCGTTCCAAATTCCTCTTCCGACAGATTTTATTCCATTCCATATACCTCTTCCAACATTTCGAAAGAAGTTTCCTATCTTACTGAAGAAACCCATTTTACTATATGTAAAAATCTAATGTCCGCCTAGTCTCTTACGTTTCCTGTTGAGTTCCATAGCATTCTTAACTGGAGCTCATACATTCTGTTTCTCCTCTGGTAGAAAACATATTCTGGGTCAACTCCTGTGTTCGCGTCATCTGCATAAAGTTGTTTATATCCCACTTCAGGGTTTGTATAAAACTCTTTCCATCTCATATTTGCATACCATGGTGGCAAACCTAACGCAGCGTCATTTGACATGGCAGTTTGCATTTGTACATCTGTTGGCACTTGACCATAGTTTGCCATTGCAGTTTGTATTCTAACTTCATTTGGAATATTCTCTGGGTTTGGTTGTCCAGGTTGCTGTGCATTCGCTAAGTTCTGTGCGTCCATTTAATATTAGATAAAAATATCTCTTACGAGTACATATGCTGAACATTTGCAGGCATTGGTTCATCTTCATATTCTCTATATCTTTCTGCCACGTCAAAGAAAATAAATGACACAATGGAAAAAACCTAAAACAAGTAGTCCTATTTCAAACCACATTTACTTACTAATAAAATTTCTTTTTGTGACACTTTCTCCAGTTTATAGGACCTCTCTCATATTCTATCTTGTCATATCTAAACTCATAGTCATGTATGTCCTCTAACCATCTCATAACGGTTTCCAAACCACTTTTATCGGATGTAAAGTAAAAGCATGGATGGTTATGTAAAACGTCTAAAGTTTCTAAAGAGTCTCTCAAAGTCCAGTCTACTTGGTATTGAAAATCCCATGTGTTATAGAACGGCGGGTCACTATAAAGAAAACATTTTCCTTGTCTTTATATTTTTCATACAACTCTGTCCCATGACATCTCACAAACTCTATGCCCTCAATATATTTTTCTATGTTCTCTTTGAAAACATTTGTATAGTTAAGATATAAAACTTTTGACATAAGTGTTTCAATGTCATGAACTCTTATAGAACCACTATATAATAGTCTAGCAGATATACTATCCCAGTCTATATATTCTGCTTTTTTCAAAACCTCTCTCACAATATTTTTCTTATCTAATGGTATACGTTCCATTACCTATAGGTATCTTTTCTTTTAACGCTTTCAATATATTGTTTGTGTCTGGTATATGTTTGAGACGGTCCATATAGTTGTCGAAGTCATTGCATATAATCTTTGAGTCTGGAAATATTGTATGCACAGTGGGATATATAGAAACTTCCACCGAACAAATCTACAAATGTTAGACCATTCGGTAGTTTCTTAAGTTCTCTCAATAGAATATCCTTACATCTACTCTTATTTTCAAAGAACGGTAACGGTGGTTTTGTAAAATTCATTTATAATAATAATAAAAATGTTTTTTCCTGAAAAGTGACAGAAAAGTGACAAAACATTTACGATGAAGAAGTTTCGACAAAACATTTACGAAGAAATCATGAAAATTCAAGAGGTGAGAAAACAGGTGAGAAAACGGGTGACATCTCACCTCTTCACCTAAATTATATTTTTGGGTCATTTACGCTCATTACGATGAAGAAGTCTTGACAAAACATTTACGTTCATGTTTGACAAAACATGAAAACATATATAATTTGTGAAAAGCGACACATTATATAATGTTTTCGACCCAGAAGACTAACAATTTTCCGAATAAAAACTTCATTTATACTAAAACATCTTCAGGGCTAGAAGGCACGAAGTGCCTGGAAGCCCCACTTCCTTTTTTTTTTTTTTTTTTTTTTCTTTCTATAATTCTCTTTTGCATCGATAACACTACTTTTTAAAATTAGAAGTTCGGCTATTTCTTTGCAATTTTTTGTGGTGCTTCATGAAGAGATGTTTGCCCATAAAAGTTTTTAGCATTGATATCAGAACCATCCAAAATATGAAGTTCGACTGTTTCAATTCTATTATTAGTTGCGGCATAATGATGAACAGTTTGTCTAGAATTTCTCTATCATAGCACCATTTAGAATTAGAAGCTAGGCCATTTCTTTGGTTAATTTAGAGTGGAGAAAAAGTAAAAAATGACGAAAATCTGGATCAATTTTTTTCACCCTACGTTCCCAACTTCTTGGAAAACGGTTTTTCACCCTTATGATCAGTTTCAGACACTTTGGAGTCTCCCAAACTTTGATATTTTGCATTATGATAGAGAAACGTGTCTAGTTTAACGCACAGTTGTTTTAAAGGCAAATGATGATATCACATGAAATTATCAAATTATCAAATTTTGAAGTACCAGTCCAAAGGGTTAATTAGATCCTACACAGATGTGCGATAGTGAAACATATGTGTTCTTGATTTGAGAAGTCCTACTGATAGAGGTATGAATCTCACAGCTTTGTGTGAGTATGTCTGACACTTGTATAGATGGAATATGCGCCGACATATATTATATAATAATATGTAGTTGATAATTATGAAAAAATAGAATTCGATGCGAATGATATTGAAAGTTGTTTTGTAATTTGATATTTTTCTTATATGTGTTAATTAGTAAATGGCTTGTTTGTTGTGATAGTACTGTGAAAAATGAAAGGTATTTAAATTAAAAAATTGAGATTTTGAGATATCTCTAGAATTAAGAATTTATATGTATTTGACTTTATATAACTATGTGTAAAGGATCTCGATGTCTATATGCTTTAAATAAATTAAATAAAATGAGATAAAAAATTAAAATGGACAAGAAGATATATGGAAATGTAATTTGTATTGTGTGGTTGTTGGCAAAATGATTTTAATACAGATTTAAGGATTTGGAATGGATTTGAAATTAAATGATTTTAATTCAAGGAGTAATAAGATTTTGAACTGGTTTTTATTTTGTGAATGTAAACTCCTTCCAGAGGATATGTATTAGAAAGATCAATGTCAAACTTTTTGAAAGAATTGTTTTTTTGTTGAGCGATTTTCTCATATTTAATAATATATTTAAAAAAAAAAAAAAAAAAAAAAAAAAGGTAGTGGGGCTCCCAGGCACTTCGTGCCTTCTAGCCCTGAGGATGTTTAGTATAAATGAAGTTTATATTCGGAGGGCCTCCAGGCACTTCGTGCCTTCTAGCCCTAAGAATTTTTCCCAAGACCCAAGAGGAGGACCGAACCCCCAGCCGACCAGCCGTTGACTTTTTTGTTGAGATTTCTTCATCGAAATGTTTTGTTGAGATTTCATCGTAAATGTTTTGTCATGAATTTTCATGAATTTTCATGAATTTCATCGTAAATGTTTTGTCATGAATTTTCATGAATTTTCATGAATTTCATCGTAAATGTTTTGTCATGAATTTTCATGAATTTTCATGAATTTCATCGTAAATGTTTTGTCATGAATTTTCATGAATTTTCATGAATTTCATCGTAAATGTTTTGTCATGAATTTTCATGAATTTTCATGAATTTCATCGTAAATGTTTTGTCATGAATTTTCATGAATTTTCATGAATTTCATCGTAAATGTTTTGTCATGAATTTTCATGAATTTTCATGAATTTCATCGTAAATGTTTTGTCATGAATTTTCATGAATTTTCATGAATTTCATCGTAAATGTTTTGTCATGAATTTTCATGAATTTTCATGAATTTCATCGTAAATGTTTTGTTGAGATTTCTTCGTAATGAGCGTAAATCAGACAAAAATATATTTTAGGGTAGAAGGTTAGATCTAACCTCTTTTCTAACCTCTTTTCTACCCTCTTGAATTTTCATGAATTTTCATGAATTTTCATGGTTTCTTCGTAAATGTTTTGTTGAGATTTCTTCGTAATGAGCGTAAATCAGACAAAAATATATTTTAGGTGAAGAGGTGAGATGTCACCCGTTTTCTCACCTGTTTTCTCACCTCTTGAATTTTCATGAATTTTCATGAATTTTCATGGTTTCTTCGTAAATGTTTTGTTGAGATTTCTTCGTAATGAGCGTAAATCAGACAAAAATATATTTTAGGGTAGAAGGTTAGATCTAACCTCTTTTCTAACCTCTTTTCTACCCTCTTGAATTTTCATGAATTTTCATGAATTTTCATGGTTTCTTCGTAAATGTTTTGTTGAGATTTCATCGAAATGAGCGTAAATGACCCAAAAATATAATTTAGGGTAGAAGGTTAGATCTAACCTGTTTTCTCACCTGTTTTCTACCCTCTTGAATTTTCATGAATTTTCATGAATTTTCATGGTTTCTTCGTAAATGTTTTGTCAAAAACCGTTTTTAACTTCACTTAAAATGCCACGTAAGCTACGTAAGAATATACGTAAGAGGAAGAGAGCATTGAAACATCCAATAGTAAGACTGACACCACAACAACAGTTGCAACAACAAATGCTGAATGACCCCACTATGTTGCAACAAATGTCAAGCAATCCTATGCTTTTAAACCGAGTTTTTGGTGCACAGAGTGGAGGTTTAAGAGCGGCACTTTTAGCGAAAATGGCAGGCTATGGTGGAGCTGCAGACGGAACAGCCTATAACCCTCAAAGTCAAATGAATTTGAGTTCACTCAAAAATCAAATAACAGATGTCAAAAAGTCAAACATAGACATACAGAAGCAAATAAGTGAAAACGAAAAGAAACTAGAATATGACAGACACACAAAGAAACTCAATGAGTTAAACGTAGAGAAAAAGAAGAAAGAAGAACAACTGAAAGAACTAAGTACAGAGGAATATGCGAAAAAAGTGTCAGAAAAAGCAGCAGAAGTAGCAAAAATGGAACAAGATGTCATAAATTTGAAAAACCATACTACTCAATATAAAGTACTGAAAGATGAAGAGATAAAACAAAAAGCCCTGAAGACATATATGGATAGCGATGAGTATAAAAAAGAAGTTGAAGCAAATGTAAAGGCAGAAAAACTTTTACAGTTGCAAAACCAAACCGTACAGTATGAAAACTTAGCACAAGAAAGTAAAAATAACGACGCAGCCATGCAAAAGGCAATGAAAAGCGCAGAATATATAAAAGCTAACAATGACTGGTTAGATACCCAAGCCAACGCTAAAGCAGCCCAACTTATAGGGTCAATAAGGACAAAAATACAAGCGGATGAAGACAGTTCAAATGAAGCTTTAATGAATGCTGACTTTAAGAACGCCTTCGAAGCTCTTCATAGTAAGGTGAAACAAGTGAACGATTTCTCATCTGGAAGGAGGCTGAAGTCTGAAGGTTTCGACAAAGAGTTAAAAGAAGTAGCACAAAATATGACGAAAATAACAGATGCAGCAACGAGACAGGCAGTTCAGAGTGCCTATGACTCCGTTAGAGCAACTGTTGTGGAAAGTCAAGAAAAAGAGTTACAACAGACCAAAACAGACCTAGTAAATGCTTTCTTAAGAACGAAAAGTCAGGTAGGACATTACGCTGCAGATGGAACTTATATACCACCAAACCCTCCAAGAGAAGCACCTGCACCAGGACTACCTAGAACATTTACATCGTCACATGGACAAGAAAGTCTTGAAGATGAAATCTCAACAAAACATAGACGATGAAAGTCTTGACGAAGAAATCTCAACAAAACATAGACAAGAAAGTTTTGACAAAACATAGACAAGAAAGTTCATGAGAAATTAGATGAAGAAGAACTTGACAAAACATAGACGAAGAAATCTCAACAAAACATAGACAAGAAAGTTTTGACAAAACATAGACAAGAAAGTTCATGAGAAAACATAGACAAGAAAGTTTTGACAAAACATAGACAAGAAAGTTTTGACAAAACATTTACGAAGAAATCATGAAAATTCAAGAGGGTAGAAAAGAGGTTAGAAAAGAGGTTAGATCTAACCTTCTACCCTAAACATTATTTTTGGTTCATTTACGCTCATTACGATGAAGTTTGACAAAACATAGACAAGAAAGTTCATGAGAAATTAGACAAGAAAGTTTTGACAAAACATTTACGAAGAAATCATGAAAATTCAAGAGGGTAGAAAAGAGGTTAGAAAAGAGGTTAGATCTAACCTTCTACCCTAAACATTATTTTTGGTTCATTTACGCTCATTACGATGAAGTTTGACAAAACATAGACAAGAAAGTTCGTGAGAAATTAGACAAGAAAGTTCATGAGAAATTAGACGAAGAAATCTTAACAAAACATAGACAAGAAAGTTCATGAGAAATTAGATGAAGAAGAGTTAAAAACTCAGCCAGGAAGAAAGTAAAGCTTGGTCCACGTGGGTTCTATTATGACAAATAAATCCAACTATTCTATATTTTTACCCATATGAAATGTACGCCGCTCAGAATATAACGCCAACAGTTTTGGATGCCATGAACGGAAATGTTTCCGAATGGTATAACGAATGCGACAATGCCATTAGAAGGTCAGAAATAGTTCCTGGAACTTACGAATATACAACTGCTGTTTCTTATGGAAATGTAGGTGAGTTTGGTGAAGGTTCTTCAACAACAGTAGATATTGCATGCGACAGGTTTCACATTATTTCTATTGACAACTCATTCTTATACGTGGAACAAGACATTGAAATAAAACCTTCTGCCAAGTTGTCTGACAAGAAAGGTTGCAATGGAATTTTCTATGTCGGATACCAATATGCTCCAGAAGTTTTCATGGGATATAAGATATATTCTAACTCTGACTTAGTTCAAACAGTAACATGGGCAAACTATGAATGGTTCGCTTTGAGAAACTCAGTACAACCACAAGCTAGAGAACAAACAGACCAATATGCAACTATTGAGAAAATAAGAAGACTTGACCCTAACGTTCCAGGAGTTTATGTTGACCTTTCTGGACAAACTGCAGCAGCAGTAACCAAAGTAAAACTGAAACTTAGAGTTCCTTTGTCATCTTTCCTCATCTTCAGGTTTTTAAGATACTTGCCAAACTGGGCAGGAAAAATTTCTATTGAACTTACTCCAAGCAAAAATAACTTAGTCATTGCACCAACACAAGACCCATTCACTCTTACAGAAGTAGTGGGAACAAATAAAACGTCATTCGCCGACTTTTGCAAAGACAAAGTTGACTTAGACTTTGGTTTCTCAAACCTCAACACTGAAGTAAACTATTATTTCAATGCTGCTGGAACTGCTTGGGACCCAGTTAAGTTTACATGCGAAAAATTTGAATGCAAGAGAATAGAAAGCAGACTTGCAGTCTATATGTTGGACCCAGATATTTCAAATGCTTTAGCTGCCAAATATATTGCAGTTCCACTTATGTTCCCTATACACCAAATATCTGTCAAAGACTTTGCAGGTGAAGTTGGAAACCAAAGTGCTGACCCAGGTGCAAGAACAGATATTGCTTTAACAACTGCAATGAAACATGCAGATACTATGTTTGTACTGTTCAGACGAACTATAAATGACTATTCTTGTTTCTACAACCCTGGTATTAAATATCATATAAACATAGATGGCAAATATTATCCAAGAGAAGAATATTCTACAGTTGAGGATATGAGGTCATACAACTTGACATTAGATGCTATGAACTTTAACAACAACTTCACAACAACCATTAACCCTGAAATGCAAAGTTCTATTATGCCATATGTGAAAGTATGGACTCATACAGGAGGTCAAAAAACTCAATATACAAATGGAGACCGTTCAAACTTTTGGCTTGGCATTCCATTTGCTGACTCAGAAGACTTTATGGGTGGTATTTTCAACTGTTGGTACTGTACAAATACAATATACTGGTGACAGAGACGGTCCAGATGAATTGAGAGCAAAGAAGTTTACAAAACCAATAGCACTTTTCACGGAAGATGCTCTTTTGAAGATTCGTTCGATGAAACCTGCTGGGGCTCCTCAGATTGGCATAACGACAGCTTCCATCGAGCAGATTTTGGCAGCAGGTCAGTAAGTTGTTCTTGAACTGACTTCTCTCCGTCAAATATTGACAGTACGCCAGTTTTGACATAAAATTGTATTATAAACTTACCTTTAGAAATATCTGTAAGTTTTGTTGTTATATTTTTGTCTGCTTCAAGAACTTTCACCATTTCAGTTATACCAACTTTTTTTGCTTTATGAAAATATTTTGGTTCAGCAAAGACTGCTATTCTATAACATTTTCCATTGTTTGTGTAAAGAACTATTCTGTCAATGTATTTGTATTGTTTGTGTGTGTAAACTTTGTTCTGCTTCAATTCGAAGAGATATCCGAATACGTCCATATTTTTATTCGAAGTAAAATGTCATTTCCGAAAAATAGAAGCGTAAGTGTTTCAAAAGGTTTAATGGCGGTGGCAGATGTGAAGTTAAATTCACCAACTCAAACAAACAGTCAAAGTGTTGTTGTCAATGTCAAAGAAAGAGATGTTGAAGTGGGGAAACCATAAAGACGAAGATGGTATAACAATTGTTCCTGTAAAAGAACAACCAACATATCCTGAAGTTAGCAGAGACTTAAGTTCTGTTGCAGATATTCGAAACGACTACATGCAACTTAAAGACAAACTTAAAACTCAGGAGAAGATTTGTCAAGCTTTAGGTATAATGTTAAACTTGGTCGAACACAACCCTGTAAAAGTGAACTCATATGTCATCGCACCTCATGAAATTTTGAAAGAACTATTGAAACTTTTGACAGAGGCAGACGATATAAACATCAAAGAAATAGAACCCGACGTTAGTTGCTGTGGTGTTTCATATAATGTCATTGACAAGATATACGTTATGAAAGGAGGTGAAACGTTGAACTTAAAGTATAGTTTCCCAGACGTCATAAAAATATTTGACGACCACAACATTTCATTAAAATTTATTTGCTAAGTAAATGGCAGAAGACATAGTGGTTTATACTATTACGACTAAAAACCCTGAGTCATATAATTCTATAACAACAAACTTACAAAGTCCTCAAGGACGATATTGTAAACTAACCTTAAACACAATGACGACTAAAGCTTGTTTTGCTCTTTTGACACCAGAAGATTTTATTGTTGTGAATGGTAAAAAATACTCCTTTGAAGATACTTACTCAGATATACCACCAACAGGTTTTTGTTGACTTATTTAATACTTTAAGTACGGGTGTAAAATGTGCTGCAACTAGAGCAGGTTTCATTATGTTTGGATGTCCGACTGAGTTTACTATAAACAATATGAGCTATAATACAAAACTTATATCTGGTTTTTACTACCAACAGTTTCCTATAACAGGAAAAGGTGTCATACAAGGAATGTCTATTCCATTGACTTTAAGTACACCTATTTATATATTTGTTTCAAACTTAGGTTCAAAGTGTTATTCGAATATCGACAGAAACTACTATGACCAAAAGATACTTATGCGTATAAACAACACTTTCTCTGCTGGTTTGCCTATTGTTCATTCGAATGCAGAGTTTTCAGCTTTAGTAAACTCAAACACTTTAGCAAACATAAACTTAACCTTAGTTGACGCAAACTTTGTTCTGTAAAACTTTTATGTCCTATGTATTTGTCAATGACGGCAGAAAGTTTCGAATTGGAAGATGCAACTGGTGAAAGTATTGTACTACAAGAACAACTTCAACAACAAATAGCTCAAGAACAACAAATGGAACAAATGCAACAACAAAGTCAAGAATAAAAAAAATATTTTTTTTATTTTTATAAAAATGTACAGAATAGATGTTTCAGATTTTTATGACTTCCAAACATTCAGAAATATGTGTCCATTTCGAGACTATAACAAAGCAGTCGAGAATTTGAAACGTTTAGTCATTTATGTTGACTCTGCCCCAGAATGTTATGTCATGAAAGAATGGGATGTTGTCTTTAACAAACCAAGAGCAACAATAGTTTCAGAACAAGAATGTAGACAGAAACTTAAGAAAATAAAAGTTGTACAAGTTGGCATGAAGATGTTAGATGCTTGGGATATTTTATTGTCAAAGTTAGAAGATTTTTCAGTTCGTGGTATAAAGTTTTATACACCTTCTCCAAACTTCTATTCTATCTTCACTGGATATAAATATGAACAAGTAGAATGGAAAGAAAATATTATAAAAGCTTGGTTAGACCATGTCAAAGAAATTATATGCAATGGAAACGAAAAGGTTTATGAGTATATCTTATGTTGGTTTGCAAACATCTTACAACATCCAAGTGCTAAAAATGAAACTGCTCTCATTATAATTGGAAAACAAGGAACAGGTAAGAACACATTTTTTACAGATATTTTGTGCAAACTGTTAGAGGGCTATTCGAACCCTAATATGACAAACTTAGAAAACATCTGCGGTAAATTTAACTCTTCAATAGAGAATATGAAACTTATAGTTTGCAATGAACTTCAAAGTATAGATACAACAAAAGTTTTGAACTCAGATGCTTTGAAGAGTCTTATAACAGACAAAGTTGGAGTTGTTGAAAGAAAATATAAAGACCAAAGAGTTTGTGAAAATGTTGTAAATTTCATTATGGTTTCAAACAATGCTGTTCCGATGAAGTTAGAAAGTTCTGACAGAAGATATGTAGTTGTCAGAACGTCAGATTCTCATATGCAAGATACAGAATATTTTGACGA